GGTTTCTGGAAAGGTTGAATAGAATTTCTGATGTAGATTTCGGGTGTGCTTTCAGAATGGGTTGAAAACCATAGGGTGGAGTATATGCATGTGAGATGCGGGGTTAGCCACTGCTTGCTATAATGGTGCCGACCAGCGCATTGTGTGAGAGATGTAAGGTCGCTACTAACAGCTTCTGGGCTTCCTGGACACCTACTTGCTGAGCTGTCTTTCGGATCTCTCTCCTGTGCTCCTCCTTGACTTGGTCCTGCCAACAGCTTGAGAACATGTTTTTCAGGTGGCACCCTCGTTTAGATGCATCGCTGCCTCTGTCCACTTGTACAAATCTGAGAAGAAGTCAGAGACACTGGTTGCGTTGTCCTCAAGCGTCAGGTGATGACAGTACTTGTTCATGTCCGAGTTTGCAGCAATTTATAGCAATTAAGCCCGAAGCTCGTGCACATGATTTGCAAAGAGCAGCGCAAGGCGAACCAGTCAGGGAAGCTGGGTACGCTGCAAGGCCCGTGCCCACAACAGTATGAGCCATGCCATGCAGCTAAACACAAAGATCTGAGCAGGTCATGGGAAGAGATGAATCGCAAAGGCCTTTAGACCTGACCAAACAGCTCTTTTCTCCCCCCGCGCATTGACACAAGCCGTGCATCCCCCAGCACCCTGCTTCACACATGCTTCGCTCTCCAATCTTATGCCTGTGTTCCAGTCACTGTACGGTTGCTTGTTGAGCAGGCTGATGGGCACCCACACTTGTGATCCGCTGTTGTCTCGAACGATATTCTGGTTTGGAGTCTGCGCCAAGCTTGTGGGTTTGACACTGCATGAAGGTCTTCTTCCAGATTTGCCTCTGATGTCCAGTCATGTCCTCGTATAGCACAAGATATTGCTTTCACGACTGTGTATCTGTATCCTGAAGCTGCATGTAGGATGTGCACCGACAAGCGCCTCACGGCCACTTCACCCACCAGATACCACAGCCTCCTACCGACCTGCAATGCTTGGACAGCTAAACTAAACTTTGAACGTCTCAACAGGCGAGCGCCCTCTGATGAGATCTGTAACACTGTAGGCAGCGAATGTTGCAAGCAAGGTTGTCGCATAACACATGTCCGCAAATGTCCACTTCGAATCTGGCGCCCGTAAACAAGTTTGGGACCAGGAAGCTCCTGCTCAAATGGGGATATTTTTGCTTCGTGTAATGGTATGCTGAGACTCGGTGTTGCCTGCAGGGCTTCAACAACAAGCAAAAGACAGACTCGCAACACATCCTTTAACTGTGAGAGACGAGGCGGCGAAAGTGAAAATGAACTGTTTAACCTGAAGCGAAAAAGCGGGACTATGACGATAGGGGCTTCATTTAAATATTCCCATTCCCCTCCGCCAACTCCCCGATTTTTTGGGCAAACCAATCTGGCAAAAAATATCTGGGAAAGGGCGGCAGTAAAATGTATAATCTCCTGGACCTGAGCTCTCTCTGATGGGTGATGGGGTACTGCTAACAGCAAAAATATTGGTAGTGGCAGCAGCCGTAGCCATAGCCGTAGCCGTAGCAAGAGTAGTAGCAGCAAAAGCAGCAGTAGAAGTAGTAGGAGCAGCAGTAGCAGTGGCAGTAGCAGTAGCGGGAGCAGGAGCAGTAGCAGGAGCAGCAGCAGCAGCAGTAGCAGCAGCAGCAGGAGGAGGAGGAGCAGGAGTAGTAGCAGTAATCGGCGTCGTAGTAGTCGCAGTAGTCGTAGTACTACTAGTAGTAGTAGTAGTAGTAGTAGTTGTTGTTGTTGTAATAGTAGTAGTAGTTGTAGTAGTAGTAGTAGTTGTAGTTGTAGTTGTTGTTGTTGTTGTTGTTGTTGTTGTAGTTGTAGTTGTAGTTCTAGTAGTAGTAGTAGTAGTAGTTGTTGTTGTTGTTGTAGTAGTAGTAGTAGTAGTAGCAATAGCAATAGCCATCGAGCGACTTTTCCGTCCAGCGAAACGCACGTTGTTTTGAGAATTACGTTTGTTGGCTTTCCGTTCGTGTTCGAAGAGCATACGGTGAGCAGAGCATCCATGCCCAAAGCATAATTACGTTCGTGTTCCAGGAGCATACGGTGACCAGAGCATCCAGGTCCAAACCATAATTCCGCTCGTGTTCCAAGAGCATACGGTGACCAGAGCATCCATGCCCAAAGCATAATCACGTTCGTGTTCCACAAGCATACGGTGAGCAGAGCATCCATGCCCAAAGCAGAATTACGTTCGTGTTCCAAGAGCATACGGTGAGCAGAGTATCCATGCCCAAGACTAATTCCATTCGTGTTCCGAGAGCAATCCGTCACCAGAGCATCCATGCCCAAAGCATAATTCCGTTCGTGTTCCAGGAGCATACAGTGACGAGAGCATCCATGTCCAAACCATAATTTCGTTCGTGTTCCAAGAGCATCGGATCAGAGCACCCATGCCCACGAGCATACGGGGACCTGAGCATCCATGCTCATACCTTAAATCCGTTCGTGTTCTAAGAGCATACGGCAACCAGAGAATCCATGCCCAAAGCATAATTCCGTTCTTGTTCAAAGAGCATACGGTGCCCGGAGCATGGACCATTTTGAAAACTGCCCTGCCAGCTAAGCTGGCAAGCAAGTCCCAGTCTAGAGCAAACCCCATGCTTTTGCAGTATGCGAGGGCGTTCCATTGGAGGTGGGAGGAGCAGAATGCCCTCTTCGAGAAGATTGGCCATTGTCTGGTTAGGCACTTGTTCTGAAGCGAGAGAAAGTCGCAGACTCATGAAAGCAGATTGGATAGATTTGCCAGTAGCAATGCTGATTAACAGACTGATACACATCGTTCTGATGGTACGAAGAGCAACAGTCATGTCTGTAGAACCACTTCCCTTATTTGTACTCATGCGGTCACACTGCTGCCATCGTACGCTTCTTGCAGTCCCACTCAGAAGCTTCATTCTGCAAAGACGAACTTAAAATCAGCAAAAAACGCAATAATTTCTCCGACGGTCAAAAACGCACGTTTTGAACGAAACCATAGCAGGCGTGTAGGAAGCAGCAAAAACCGATTTAAGAAAAAAAAAAAAGTGTCGTGTACTTCGCGCTGAAACTTCGGGTTTTGCACATGCACCAAAAAATCTTCATTTTCTACAGCCACCTAAAACAACTTTAAAATCAGTCCGAAACCCGGTTCATCTATCATTTTTGACCAAAAATCGCGGACGGAGAACACACCCGTAGGGTGGTAGTATTAGTAGTAGTACTACTACTACTACTACTGCTACTGCTACTGCTACTGCTACTACTACGCGCGCTTTATGTATTTGANNCTGGCTGCCCCGTAACCGGAGAATCCCGGAGAATCAAAAAAATACTGCAAAACGCAGTACTTCGGAAGGAGGCTGACTTGAAGAAGGTGCAAAGTTCGGAGTCAGGATTTTTCGGTTTTTTGTTTTTCGCAAAATCCTGATGGGAAGACACAAAATCACTGTCCTGCGCAGTGTTTCGGGCTCCGCGTGCTTTTTTCAAAACATGCATCTCAGACACAATCGCACATGGCAGCGAAGCAGGAAGTACTGTAAAACACAGCATTTGTGCAACTGCGCAATTTTGCAAAAAACGCGTTTTTGAAATCTGATTCTTTTTGGTATAGGCGACATGCTATTCGGTCGGCGACTGCGCGAGGAAAAACAAGTAAAGAGTGGTTTCTGTAATCTTTGCTATATGGACTCGCAAAAAGGGTCACCCCATTGTTGGTGACTTCCAGGTACTCCAGCTTTAAACTGGAAACCCAAAGGCCTAAACCCTCAACCAATGCCTTAGATACCTCGAAATGGTAGTTTCCCAAAATAAGTGGAACCCAAGAATGTAGACCCGAGTATGCTATAGTACTACAGTCCCCGTTATAAAAATCCCGAAGATGATACCTTTAATTTTGACAAACTCCAAATATTGACACTGCATTGCACGTAGCGAGCCAATGCCCCACAGCATGGCATTAGCTTTGCGACCCAGATGCAGTCCCCTTCATTAAGTTAGCATGAGTACTGTCATTTCTAAGATCTTTGTTCCGTTCATAATCGTTCATAGCAATGACATAATGGCGGCACAACTTATTGTTTGCGTTATGGGTTATAGAAAATGTGGTCAAGTGCGCTAGCATGATGATTGCTGTCTTGCGTCCTTTGAGTACTGCCGGCGACGACTTGTGCATGACACAGGTCGACAGTGAAACCCAAAGCCCTAAACCTTGAAGCAATCGTTTCCAATGCCTTAGATACCTCGAAATGGTAGTTTCCCAAAATGGGTGGAACCCAATAATGTAGACCCCGAAATACTATAGTACTACAGTCCGTATTATAGAAGTGCCCAAGATGCTACCCCTAATTTTGGAAAACTCCCAATATTGATACCGCACTGCATGGCTGCATGATTGTTGACCGCGGCTGGTGAGTTCGGAGCTTGCTGTGCCTAAAATCCTTTCTAACTTCCCATGCCTCAAGTGCTTATGGGCGTAATTACTGAGGGTTTCTAATCTAAATAAGACATGTTCCAGTACATGTCAAGGATTAGAGTTTGTAATGGTGGGAAAGGTTTTCCTTCGGAGCTTGCTGTGCCCGTGCCTCAAGTCCTTATGGGCGTAATTATCCCCCCCCAGCCCCCCCCCAACAAACAGAAAAAAAAACGCTGTCGAAACATGTGAAAATCCGTAAAAATCCAAAAACGCATTTTTGGCGAAAATAGCTCAAGCCGGAAAAAGCCAGGAAACCCTGCAAATACCGGTGAATTCGTCCAAGGGCACAAAAATAGAGCTCTTAAAAAATCAAGGAAAA